TATATATATATAATTTCAAATAAATTTCAGTATTAAATTCGAGGTGATTCCCACCCCAAGCTAATTTTCCATTAGCAACTGGAAAATCTTCTCGGGAGGGGACGCTCTTCTTTGTTTCTCCCTAAGGAAGAGTGGTTACAGGGTCCTCTCTTTCTTGTTTAAGGAAAATGTGTCCACCTCTGTTCTGAGTGCCGTCTCTTCCTTTCTCAGAGACTGCTCCTCTAGCCATTTGCTCCCTCATATTTACCTCTTCCCACGGCTCTAATTCTTTACTTCTCAGCACCCATGGACCTCCTTCCATCAGGCAGATGGAAGTGAATTCATCCTTAGAGCCTACTCTCATTACTCTTTGTGTTTATGTCCTTCCTTTTACAGTCTAAATTCTTGAAAGAATTTTTTTTTTAATCTCCTGTAAACTCAACGTACTGTAGCTTCACATAAGCTCCTTAGCCCACTGTAAACCTGAGACTGGAGGTAGGTAAGAATTGGAGAGACTAGGAAACCAGGACATGGGAGAATCATCTGGAACTGTAGATCTGGAATTGGTAGGCCAGAGAAACTAGTTAATTAAATGACTTCTGGCCACATTCCAGAAAAGATATGGCTAGAGAAAGAACACATTACAATGTTTGGAGATTTGGCAGTGAAATTTTAAGGTTGAATTCAACAAAACTGAAAACCGTAGAAATTAGAACACACCAGAAACTTTTTACAAACACATGGTAGGTCTTTCAGAAGCATTCAGAAAGTGTTTTGTTTTGCTTTGTTTTGTTTTCAAAGACTGTGCGTGATGAGAACAGCTCTCCCCAGGATTGTCAGGGACTCAGTGGATTTAGAGTCACTTAATAAAACTCTTGGTGTAACTTTCATTTTTCTCCTGACTTTACTTTGTGCTTGTACACTTGATGTCTGCCTCCTTGGCCCAGACCTGCTCTCCACAATCAAAGACCTGAAAGCTTGGCTCTGGAGCTTTCCTACTCACTCCTTCTGGTGATGGTCTTTTCCAGCCCAGGTGGGAGAGCGCCAGCTCACCTTTGTTCCCAGCTTGGTTCTGCGCATCCGGTTCTGCGTGCTTCTGAGTGCCGCCACCTCCTTTATCTGCTTTTCAGAGCTGACAGATAGAAGAAGTTTGGGCTTTGGAGTCGCATGTAAATTCTAGGCTTGTGATTTATTAACTATATGACTTAATCTTTCTGAATCGTGGTTTTCTCAACTATTAAAATGGGAACATTTAATACCTCCTTAGTTTCTGAGAACTAAGAATAATGTGTAGGACAGAGGCAAATACTGGGTGCTTAGTAAGTGTCGTCATTCTTTTCCTTGCTAGTTAATGCTATTTGGCTATCAAGTTATACAAGGTCGCAAAGAGGAAGAGGCAATAGACTATTAGGTTTATTTTCTATATGTATGAAAATCTGAAGATGAAAAATTTTAATGTTTGTTTTTGAGAGAGAGCATGAGCAGGGGAGGGGCAGAGAGAGAGGAAGACACAGGATCTGAAGCAGGCTCCAGGCTCTGAGCGGTCAGCACAGTGCCTGACGCGGGGCTCGAACCCATGAACTGCGAGGTCATGACCTGAGCTGAAGTCAGATGCTTAACCAACTCGGCCACCCAGGCGCTTTGAAAATATGAAGATTAATTGGTAACGCATAGGTTCTTTATGAGTACGCTTTAGTAATAAATTGAAGGAGAAAAAGATTATACTCTGAAAACTGAGGACAAATCCGGTTAAACTTCCCTTCTGATCGACTGTGGCCTTGCTGATTATGTGTTTATAATAAACCTGGCCGTATCCTATGGAGAACAGAAAAGTTACTTACCTCTAGTAGATGAAGCAGGGTTTTTTTTCTTCTAGAATTTAGGTGATTGTCATTAAATAATGGTAGACTTTGTTATTGCCCACAGTGTTTTTGTCAGTATGAAATCCTGAAAGAACATTTTTTCCCCCAGAGTAGATACTGTGTCTCCTGGAAGTAAATGCCTTTGGAATGAAAGAATATATGTCATCGCTAACTGAATAAAAAGACATTTGCTTAAAACTTTTCTTCTTTCCTTTTTAGGTGTTTGGCAACCAACTCATTCCTCCCAATGCGCAAGTGAAGAAGGCCACGGTTTTTCTCAATCCCGCAGCTTGCAAAGGGTAGCTCAGTTTGTGATTTGTCACATCCTCCCTTTTCCTAAGGGGTGGGGGGAATCCTGGACTATCAGGCAGCTAGTTGGATTGTGTGGAATTGGAAGAAGAAGGCTCAGTACTCATCTAGCAATATGATTAATTTGTAATGGAGAAACAGCAGTTAATGAGCTGTAACTTGTAAAGCTGTCTGATGCTTAGCCAACGTGTCTAGCTGCAGTTTAATAAAAATCCCAGAATTACCACTCTCACATAAGTCTTCCCTGTGTGGGGACAGCCCCTGCTGTTGCGATGGCAATGATCGAGACTTCTCTGTCACAGGATGTTCCACGATGGCCAAGAGCACTGTGGGCTTGTGAAGTCAGAAATGACCTTTCCAGAAGGAGGGAACCTTGAGCTAGGTCTTTGGAGGTTGGCAGACTGACAGCACTCAGTCTTCCTGATGGAGGAGATGGGCCAGGGGGCGGGGGTTGTGCTAGGGACAGGAATGACTAGTTAGGTCCCTCCTGTGTCCCATGACAGTCTGTGACCTGGTCTGGCTGGCCTGGAAGAGTTGTGTGAAGACATGGTGGGCATTCAGGTGTGAGGAATCCATGGGACTTTGGTTAATAATCACATGTTTGTGTTCATTTATCATAACAAGGGTCCTGTGCTGGTGCAGGACGTTGAGAGGGGGGGAGGCTGTGTGTGCATTTAGCAGGACAAAGCGTCCGTGGAAATTCTCTGTGTTTTGTGCTCATTTTTACTCTGGACTTGAAAACTGCTCTAAATAATAAGGTGTATAAATTTTAAAAAACCATAAGGGAAAAAAATTTTTTTTCATTCTTAGGTGCTGCTCTCATTTAGTTGGAAAGGTGAATTTAAAAAGATTTTGAAGGCTTTTAGAAAAAATCATTTAAAACTTAAAGTTATTCTTTTTAAGTTTATTTATTTTGAGAGAGAGAGAGAGAGAGCGCGCGCAAGCGCGTCTGAGATTCAGAGAAAGAGCGAGAGAGAGAGAGGAAGAGAGAGAGGAAGAATCCCCAAGCAGGCTCTGCACTGTCAGCACAGAGCCTGATGAAGGCTTGAACCCACAAACTGTGAGTTCATGACCTGAGCCAAAATCAAGAGCCAAGCGTTTAACCGACTGGGCGCCCCTAAGATGCAAAATTATTCTTAAAATATAGTAAGGATTAAAAGGTTGTGTGTGTGTATGTTGGGCGGAATAATATTTTTTATTCTCCCTAATGACCAGAACAATTCTTTTTGTCTTTTCTGAGGATCAGAAAATTAATAAATACGTATTAGGTTGGATCGTTTAAGATCTAAGTCAAATGATATTAAGAACAACAACAACAAAAAGAATAGTTGGGACCAGCTTCTAAGTAGTCTTGTGTAAAACGCAGGGTCTCTGAAATAAGTTTCTTGAGTAAGAAAGAAGTAATTTCTTGAGAATAGTGAGTGTGGCTTTACAGATAGAAGGAGGAGTCAGGCCTTATTTTTAGTTCTGCAGTTTCTGACACTTAACTACAGATTGTCTGAACTGACTCTGCCTGCTTGAATCCTATCAGACTGGCTTGGTCAGAGCCACCTCCCTCCCCCATGAACATCCCAATCTTAACGCCTGTTGATCATTCGTCCTCACACCACATAATCAAAATACCCAAGATAACTAAACAGTGGTGGCCTGTGGCAGAAGCTGGCAGAGAACTCTGTGGGCTTCAGAGTTGGAAGGACCAGACTTGTATACTCTTTGGTTCTGTGTACTACGGGAGTTACATAACTTAAATCCTCAGTGTACTCATCTGTGAAATGGGAAAGTAATAGCTCCTACCTTATACAATTGCCATATAGAATAGACGCCTTTAGGATTAGATGAGATAATGCCTATAATGTGTTGGGCGTTTCTATTTCCTGTAAGCACTGGATAAAAGGGGACTATAAGCCGCTGTGATTACTTTGACTTGTTGGCGAGATTCAAAACGCTCTCTACTTGCTCTCGAAAGTGCTTGTAACTCCCCCCTGCCTACTGTAGTATAACTGTTGTAGGTCCTATTGCTTTAGAGACCTAGTAAGTTAGCAACTTGCTAATTCTGATGAAGAAAAATATGACACATTAAGTTCCTACTTAGATATTTACATTAAAAAATTAAGAAACTTTTTTAGAGCAGTTTAGGTTCTGTGTACATTTTTACATGTGAAGGTATTGGCATTTCTAAAGGTGGATTATTGTCTAAGAGTATAAAATCTTTATCTTTAAAGGTGAGGCAAGGGAAAGTCTTCTAAAGTTAGTGTCCCTTTTAGCAAGGTGAACCCTTGTATGCTTCTGGCCAGCCGCCACTCTGCAGCTCTCCAGCATCTTTTTTTCCCCTAAGCTTTCACTATTTAATTGCACTATTTTTGTCATCTTGGCTCTGCTCTGACGCATAATTCATAATTCATTGTGTAGCTATTTCATTATGTAGTGCTGGTTTAAAACTACATGGGTGCTTTAAGAAATAAGATAACTGTGTGTTTAGTATTAATAAATAATACATTAAGAAGTAATTGTTTTTTTGGTGTGTATGTGAACCTGGAAATTGCTGTAGGTACATAAAGTTTTCCTTTAGCTCTGGTGCTATCTCACCTTTAATTATGTAATAAATAATGCATTTCTTCCTGGTAACACTTTCAATTTTTTATATCGAACATGAGAAGGGAAAAAAGTCACTTTCATTTTAGAGATTGTCTGTAGCCATCGTATCCCGTAAAGACGTGAATAAAAGCCCAAATGTTCAAATCCTAGTTCTTCAACTTGGAGGAGTTTACCGATTTGTTGTAAATGATTAAAATAGCAGATTGAGATTGGTCCATAGTTGTGCTTCTCAGTGAGAGCTGATCCACTTCTAGCTGATCTTTTCTTATCAATCTAGTAACGAAAACAACCCTGGAAGGAGAAGCATTTGTAGTATTATTAGCTCAGCCCTTTGCTGTTGGGTGAAGCCCCAGAAATGGTGAGCTGGAAAAGGGAGGTCTTCATGTAGCCTTCCCTGCTTGTTCTAAGAAGCATTCAGGGCACTAGACGGGGCAGGGGATATTTGCGCCCTTTGCTTCTGACGTGCTCGTGTAAATCACGAGTTGGAGACACACTTTTTGAGTGGTTCTCGTGAAAATTTGTCCAACCTTCTCCGTTTCTATTTTAATTCAGAATCAGAAATGTTACGTGTTTCTCTCTGCCCTTTGGTGCTTATTTCTTTTTAAAGAATGTTGAATTTGGTCTGTGCCTCACTGCACATGTGGCCCATGAGCTACCTGTGCGTCTCTTCCTAGTATAAAATGCCTGTGAGAAAGTCAAAGCATGCATAACTGCTTTAAAAAAAAAATCTTTTTTTTTTTAACATTTATTTATTTTTGGGAGACAGAGACAGAGCACATGTGGGGGAGGGGCAGAGAGAGAAGGAGACACAGAACCCGAAGCAGGCTCCAGGCTCCAAGCTGTCAGCACAGAGCCCAACGCGGTGCTTGAACTCACAAACCGTGAGATCATGACCTGAGCCGAAGTCGGACAATTAACCGACTGAGCCACCCAAGCACCGCCCCCCCCCAAAAAAAAAACGTCTTTGAAAGAGGACTGAATAAATGTGGATGTGAAAGTTAGAGGTTCGGCGTTTTGAAAGTTCTAGCTTTTGTTCTTCTTCGATGTGATAGTTGAAAATGTTTGGGCAGAAAACAGGTCAACTGATTGGTACGCTTAACATTTATTCAACTCTGAGACTATGCCATTGGGGACTCTTTGCAAGTTGTGCAACCCTTGATTCTTGGGCTGTGTTTCTGACTCCTCACCTGCACTGGACAAGAGTCACTGTCAGAATGATGTATTTGATGCTTTTAAAACACAGGCATTCTTCAAAGGACTCTGTTTCTGTTCTTAGATCACCTCACAATTGTGTCGTTTCCTTTTCCGCAGAATTTACATGTCTACATTTGGGGCAGGTTTATTCATTCATGCATTAGTGCATTCATTCATCAGATACTTATTAAATATCTTCTGAGTGTGCCAGATGTAATCCTAGAGGCCGGGGGATGCAAGGATTATAAGATTCGGTGTCTGTTTTTGGAAGGCTTTCAGTCTTGTCCCAAAGACTGTCTTGCCAGATCACTGATCGTCATGCAATAGGAAAATTCCTAAGAGAGGTGTATACAAAGTGATAGGGCAATAAAGAGAAGTATGTGACTATGCCTGGGAGCTTCAGACAAGCTGTTGGTTATCCTAAAGTTACATTAATTTCAAACTTACCCTTTCTTAGCAGAAATTCTGCCTTCATCGAAAAGAATTTTGCTCCTTCTCCTGGGATTTCACTACAGGTTTGAAACTCAAGAAATGGAGATATCTCTAGTATTTGAAACTGTTAAAAATGGTGTATTTCTTCATCAAAAATTGTGTCCACTGAGTTAGAATTAATCAGTATTCTGTGGGGTTCAGTTTATTCCCTCGGGCCATATGAAAAATGGTAAATACACTCTCCTTCTACCCCTGGAATATAAATCAGTTCCATGAGGACTTACTACATTATACTTAAGTTCTAGTTGTTTTTGTCTGCTTTGTTGTGCTGTGTCCCTAGCCCCTATACCTGTGTCTAGCACATAGTAGGTCCTCAGTAAATACTTGCTGAATGAATCAAATGTTGTTTCCTGAGGGGAGCCATACGCAGTGAACATTCTTCCTCTAGAGGAACTAGACTCTGAACTGTAAGCATCCCAGATGGGTAAGAGCTGATTGCATTAGAAGGTAAACTCCTGGAGGCCCCAGAGTGGTAGCATCTACGTTTCTATCCATAGAAGCTCATCACTCATTGTTCGACTTCCTGTACTTGCACAAATAGAGGAAATTTGCTTCTTGTTCTACTCCAGCGAGGATGGCTGGGCTTTTTATTCTCCCTCTTGAGAACTTGTGTTAACATTTTTGTATTTTTCCTTTGTCTACAGCAAAGCCAGGACTCTATTTGAAAAAAATGCTGCCCCGATTTTGCACTTATCTGGCATGGATGTGACTGTCGTTAAGGTAAGAACGCTCCAGAGTGTTGATTTTTTCCGAGCTACTTATAACTTCTTCTAACTTCTTATAACTTACCTTCTTCTCTTGACTCCATAGCAGAAATCACTTAACACACAAGAAGCTGGGAACAGAGGAATCAACGTTGTGTCTTTGTTCTGATCATTAATAAAAGTGGTTTTATTTTTATTTTTTTCAAAGCACTGCCAGCTTTTCATTTTCAGAGTAAGATTAGATGGAAGCATGAACTTGATTCCTTTCATCTGCAAGATAGGACGTGGAATTACTGTCTCTTAGAAGATGAAAGTAGGAATAGCTGTAAGAATTCTTTTCCTGAAAATAAAAAAATTTCCACTTTGAGTAATTAATTACTTGGTAGTGCCACAGACAGGTAAACATTTTCTCTCTGGTGAGGAATTTTAAGTGGTAAAGCTGTAGAATTTGTGACATTTGGCTAAGACAAGGAGACAAAAGTAAGTTAGAAGGATTGTGCTATAGAGAAGACGCTCCAAGACTCCACTCAAAGCCCCAAAACTTTGAAGCAATATGTATATGGGGGGTACTGAGGCGTGTGCATTGAAAATCACTCTTCTCATGTTTGTAAGTCTGTAGTTTATTTTTAATATTACACACTTTCATGAAATCAGAGATTCAAAGGTAATTGAATCCAATTTACCGTGACGTGTTGACCTATCATGTCCAGCTGGTCGGAGATGTGGTCTTCAGTTGTCCGCCTCCAGGGACGGGAGAAGGGGGAAGAGAGCTAACATTCATCTGAGTGCTTGTAATGCACGTTTCAGGCTCCACGTATGAGAGATCCTAGAATTGTTATGTAGGACTGACATTTCTTCTTTGAATGTTCGATTGAACTCAAAACCATCTGGACCTGGAGCTTTCTCTGAGGGGAGATTGTTTTGTATGGTTCTAGAAGTAGTGAGGTTCTATTCTTGAATTAATTTTGGCAAGGCACGATTTTCAAGCAATTTGTTCATTGCATTGAAGTTTTCAAATTAATTGATACCAAGTTGTTCCTAATTTCCTCCTTTTGACTTTAAGTTTCTGTAATACTTGTAGTATCTCATTTTAATTCTTCATATTGTTTATATGTGCCCCCATTTTTTCTCTCATTAGTTTTGTGAGAGATATGTCAATTTAATCCTTGCCAAGAATCAGTTTTTGGCATGTTGATCCTCTCGTTTATGTTTGTTTCATTAATTTCTAGTCTGTCTTTATTGTTTCCTTTATTCTACTGAGGGTTTTTTCCGCTGTTCTGTTCTGACATTTTAACTTGGATGTTTATTTATGTTTTACCGTTTTTCATTGTATTTATTTCAAGCTATAAATTTTGCTTTACTTCTTCAACTGCATCTTCCAAGTTATGATATATGATATTTTCATTAACATTCATTAAAAAATATTTTCTAATTTCCATCATGATTTTTGTTTGGCCAGTGAGTTCTTTAGACCCGTTTTTAAATTTCCAAATATAAAGTTTTTCTAGTTATCTTTTTTCCTAGTTAGCATTTTGTTAATGATTTCTTATTTGATTGCATTATGGGTCAGTGAATGTAGTCTATACAATTCCAGCATTTGGAAGTTTATCGAGTCTTGTTTTGTGGCCTAGCGTGTGTTTTGTTTTCATAAATGTTCCCCGTATGCATGAAAGAGTATCAGTCATCGGGTACCATGTTCTGCTTGTGCCCAATGAGTTAAGTCTGTTTGTTGTGTGGTTCTAGTCTTCTGTGCCCTGAGTTTTTTCCTTCTGCTTTAACTATAGAGAGAGGGGTATTAGAACGCTCCCACCGTTAGTGCAGATTTTTCTATTTCTCTATGTAGTTTTGCTCATTTTTGGTTTTTATATTTTGAGATGGTGTTGATAGATTGCTCTCCCGTTTCAAGTCACCTCATTTGTCTTGCACTTTGACCCTGTCGAGAGCAATTCTCTTTAGCCCCAGTATTACCTCTGCCACAGTCTGTCTTCTCTAGTGTTAGTGACTCTAGCTTGCTTTGGTTGGTTTTTGCTTGGTGTAATATTTTTTTATCCCTTTACTTTCAGCCTTTTTGTATCTTTATATTTTAGATGTACTGCTGGTAAAGGCTTGAAAACAGGGTATTTTAAGGATCCAACTTTTTTTTTTTTTTTTTTTTTTTTTTTTTTTTGGTCTTTTTACTGGACCGTTGAATCCATTAACATTTATTATAATTACTGCCGTATTTCTTTCTACACTAGATATCTACTGCTACATAAGAAATACCTTGACAACTGCTTCTCTGCTTCTGATTCTGTTAGTCAGTGGTCTGTTCAGAGCTGCCCTTGTGCTGGTCTCACTGGGCTCACCCATGGCCTGGCTGAGGAGGGATGGCCTAAGATGGCCTGACTCATGTATCTGTGGGTCAGTTCTGCTGCTGTCTGGCTCATGTGGTCCCCAGCACACATCTTCACCTGGCAGCTGGGTTCTCTGAAGTACATTACAGACATCATGTCATTTTAATCCCTAGATTCTTCAGTATGCACTTAAAAAAAAAAAATCAGACTACCTTTCTTTGTAACGGCGGTGTCCTTATTATACCCAGCACAAGTAACAGTTCTCTAATATCATGTCATGTCATGCTAGCTAGTGTCTTGATTCACTTTTCTTTATTTAATATCATTAGGCCGCTTTTTTTTTTAATCCTTCCTTTGTTGGTGCATTTGGAATTTTCATCTTCAAGTATGTTATCCTTATAAATGTAATCTTTTAAATAACTGTCCATTAAATCTGTCAAAAATTTTTAGAATTTTGGTGCATTCATGTACATATTCATATTTATTAATTTTTTTGCAAGTATTTATTGACTGTCTACTGTGAGCTAAGTCCTGTTCTAGGTATTGGGGATACAGGCTGAACAAAATAAACTTTCCATGTCTGTCCCCAAAGAGCTTCAAAGTGGGAAAGGGAAGGATCAGATAGGAAACAGATACACAAACATAGGGTTTGTCGGATGGTGATGAGTGCCAAGAAGAAATATCAAGTAGAGTAAGAGGACCAGGAGGAATAGGGGTGTCATTTACATATTCAGTAAATTACCTTTTGCCTCTATTGTTGATAGTGTTGTATAGAGAAAGGCTCAAGGGAGAGTCCTAAAGAAATATCACTGGGAATCTACCTACAATTTGATGTCACTTCACTGAGCTGCTCCCTTGGAGCACAGACCTTCAGTTGGTACCTAACTAACCTGCTTTTAGCATATCGTTCCCACATTTCTCTATTTTGTCCCCGAGGACCTCATCACATAGCTTGCCAGGTGCCTTGCTAAAGAGCAGATACAATGTCTGTCTAGTTTCCCATATCTACTGATCTAGTAATGTCAAGGAAGATGAGGATAGTCCAAAATGCCTCGTTCTTAGCGAACCCATACTGATTCCTGACGATCGCCTATTCTGGGATACTCACAACCCATCCTCTTAATCAGGATTGACATATATTCTTTTTAAAAAAAATTAACTATTTGCAAACGTGTGTTTAACTATAAAGCCAGCCATTTCATTTTTAGAATAAAAGTGGGATAATTCATCATAAGATTAATGGTGTTAGTTCAGGGCTTCTTTTTTCCTCTGTGTTAACTGCGCTCAGGCACTTTGCCTATTAGTGTGTCTTGTACAGTGTCAATAGGAAGGGCTGTTTCCTATTTTAGTATTAGTTGCATTATGTGTTTTAAAATTTAATGTTTGGTTTTAGAGGTAGTGGCTTAGATGATTCATTGAAGTCTGCATACGTATCTGAGGAAATACTTTCAGTAAAAATGGTGAGGTTTAGGTACTGTGTTGTAACTACTCTGAATCATACCTGTACATCTTTAACGTGTAGTCATAGCAAAACCTAACCTTTCATTTAAGTACAGTACAAGTTATGAACAGTTACCTTGCTAGTTTAGTAGTTTTATATACTGCTTTACAACAGTACTAAGGGGAAGCTATTATTACCCCATCCCCCAACACACATAATCTTATTGATAAGGAAATTAAGCTCCTGAGAGTTTAAGGCCTCTCAGCTACAAAGTAGCAGGGTTGGCCTTTAATCTGGGTTTCTTGGGTTCCCAAATCTGTGCTCTTTTCATTACATCTGTTACTCTGTATTTGCATATACACATGACTTCCTGCTTTCAGATGAAAGGCACCCAGTAAATAGTGTAATTGAATCTGCACTGGACTGGAAATGAGTCCTTTGACTAGCTAACTGTATAACTGGAGACAGATCACTGGGTTTGAGTTTTATATATATGTATATATGTATATATGTGTGTGTATATATATATATATATATATATAAACATAAATTTATGTAACATAAATATATATATAAAAATATGTATAAATATATATTTTAACATTTTTTTTAAGTGTTTATTTCTGAGACAGAGTACAACTGGGGGAGGGGCAGAGAGAGGGGGAGACACAGAATCTGAAACAGGCTCCAGGCTCTGTGCTGACATGTGACAGCAGGGCTCGAACTCACGAACCGCGAGATCATGACCTGAGCTGAAGTTTGATGCTGAACCGACTGAGCCACCCCGGCACCCCGAGTTTTATATTTTAAAGAAGCTTAAAGATGGTTTCTGAGGTCCCTTCCAGCTCTAAACAGTACAAAAGTATATATATAATTGCTTTGATAGCTGCTTAGTTTTTCATGCCTATCAATTATGCAGACTTTGGGGAAAGACTTGTGTAAAACTTTAAAGAAAATATCCCAGATGTTTACATCTTTGATCTTATGGCCCTAGGATGATAAATTTACCAAAGTCTTCTTTTGTATTTCAGACTGATTATGAGGGCCAAGCCAAGAAACTCCTGGAACTGTTGGAAAACACAGATGTGATCATTGTTGCAGGGGGAGATGGGACACTGCAGGAGGTATGGCTGTTGTTCTGTTTGAAACCATTTTGAAGGTGAGAAAAATGGAAACTAGATGGTTGAGCAATGGCATAAAGTGGTTACAACTTAAGGAAATGATTTATTTTTAGTTTATTTTTTTAGGATTGTTACTCTCTGAAACAGGCATAGCATTACGTTTTCCTCATGTGCTTTTATTTCATCGCTTTGTATAAACTTTATACCCAGCATATAGAAGGATTTTTGTTTTATCAAATTGAAGTTGGATAAAAATGAATACAGAGAAGAAATGGTGTTGAGTACAATAAGATTTTTATACGTTAGAGACTCTGATGGAGAAGCCCTGTTGGTTAGGGAGTTAGGGAATCAGTTTTAATTAGGAAGAATTTTATTCTTCTGAAATAAACTTAAAGATCCCCTTTTGAACAAAATGCATTTGCCTGTCCTCACATCATTTCCATCACATGGAATGTTATCTCCTAATAGTACAGTTAGAGGCCGGCGTCTACATATTTAGGTGTATGTATCTGCCTCTCTTTTAAAACTTCATGTCCTTAATGCTTACTGGTCCAATGAGGACAGGAAGTATGTTGCCCTAGAAGTGCTCTTCTTTTGGAGGGCAGCAGACTGAAACCTTCATTATGTATTGGAAACCCCTGAAGAGCCAGGTCAGGTGCCCCTCCTCCGGCTCAGTGTTTCCATCCCATGGGCCATAATTCACATTTGTGCCTCATTTCTGATTGCCTTTTGCCTCCATTTGGTGGTTTCCTCAGTGTTGAGGGATCCGGAGCTAACAGCAGACAGAGCAGTGTCCTATGTTTGACTTAGCAATTATGTGAGCCTTAGTAAGCTTCTTTTAGAAAGGCTGTGCTAATGATCTTGTGATTGTTTTTATGGCTTTTTAATGAAGTGTGAAGAATACTGGTAGCATGCCAACAAAGAATGAAGTAGACCTCACGACAGCCCCCTTTAATCCTGAAATTCAGTGAGGCAGGAGGTGAAGGGGGAAGATTGGCATCAGCCTGTACTTCACAAAACGTTTTTAAGAAATATACCAAATCGCGTATCTGGGATCATCACAGTCATATAAAAATAGGCACTGAATATGCCAAAACATAAAAAACTGATTAATGATGGTTGTTCTGCATGGTGGGACTTTGAGAAAGAATTTTCTTCTTCGGGTATTTTTCACCACTTTTACAAGACCTGTGTATTATATTTTAAAAATAAAACATGTACAAATTCAAATTAAAAATATCTTTTAAAAGTGGGGCCGCTCTTCCCCTTGTCTTCATTTTCATCAATAAGAAACATTTATTGAGCAGAGACTTTCCCGCGTGTAGCAAAGAGTTAGTTTTTTCCTGTATGTGCACTTACAGCACAACCTCAGCTCTTCCGTATGATTGATGGGTGCCTCACACTTGTATCCATTTTATAGAACTTAAAACAATTTTGCTAATATGATGTGGAGGTTTTATAATTATTTTGTCTTAGCCTCTATTGGACTATTGATTTTAGGTCAAGAATAAAATCTAATTTAGCTCTGATCCCTTTGCAGAATACTGTGGTTGAAGAGCTAGTACATCTTTTCACATAGTTTCTAGGAAGAAAATAGGAACAAGTTTGTGATCCATGAAAATTGAGTCTAATTCTTGTATGATAAGGGGAATACACGTTGTTTATAACATTTTTTTTTAACATTTGTAGGTTATTACTGGAGTTCTTCAAAGAGCAGATGAGGTGAGCTTTAAAGAAAGAGCAATTGCATTTTAACTTCTGCATTTCTGTTCTTTTTCTCTTCTTTTACCTTTTTTTTTTTTTTTACCATTTTATATGTTAAGGTGCTTCCTTGGGTTTTAGTAAATACTGCTGCCTGTGTCCTAGAACACTTTTATTATTAATCTGTGGCAGACTTCTCTGCTGTAGTATTCCAGAGTACCCAATAGCTTTTTACTGGAAAAGCTATTGTTTGGAATATAAAATTTTCCCATGGAAACTCTTGTTCACAGAATTCCTTCATAAATGAATGGTGGTATATCCATATACTGGAAGCCATGGAGCAGTAAAAATGAATGAATTAGATCTATAAGTATTAATAGATCTTTCTCTCTATGTGTGTATGTATACACATATATATTTATGTGTACATATACAATTTTTAAAATATTGAATGAAAAAGGCAGGTTGCCAAAGTATGTTAGGCATTACTACTAGGTTTTGGAATTCAGAAAACAATACTGTATACTATCGATGAATGCCTAAATATGTTGTAAAAGAATAACAATGTGGCTGGAAAGGAATCCCATCAACAGCAGGATAATGGTTGCCTCTCAGAAGGGAGAGAGGGAAACCGATGAAGGACTTCTCCTTGAATGTGCTTATTCTCTTTGCCTTCTTTATACTGGAGATTGTTTATAAAGCCTTGTCATTAGTTACTCTACAAAGGTTAGATATTTTTAGTTGAATTTTATCCACAATTTTTTGAAATAATACTGTGACAACATAATACAATTTCTGTCACAATAGCACATTTATCTAATATCTTTAAGACCCTCATTTTTGTAACCAAATTTCTTTGAACCAATTGCCGTTAATGAGTACCCAAATATTTCTTCCAGATTCAGAGTCCTGTTTTTAAGGGCTTTCTCATTCTAGAAACTGCTCACTTAATGTTACCCGATTGCTGGTCTAGGGAAGGGAGAGACAGGGTAGTGGACTTAGGGTCAGTTACTTTGTCATAGTGGACGCGTCTGTGTCTCTGTTCAGCCTGACTTTTTTTGACCATAACCATAAAACTTTTCTTTTTTTCCCCTAGGCTTCCTTCAGTAAAATCCCCATTGGATTTATCCCACTGGGACAGACCAGTAGTTTGAGTCATACTCTCTTTGCCGAAAGTGGAAACAAAGTCCAGTAGGTTGTCAATGTGGGGCGGTAGCATTTGTGGGAGACTGAGCCTGGGAATGGACAGTTCACATGTGGGTGATATGAATTTTTTGGTTTTGTTTCTAGCTTTGATAGCCTGAAACCTCAAATCATTAAGCGCAAGACCTAGATCAAATTTCAACCTTTCTGTTCACTGGGAAGTTTCCTTTTTTGGGTTCTGGGACCCTGGTGATCTGATATCAAGTGCCCAGGTCAGGTGTAGAGATGAATATTGATGTCCTTTTGTCAGTTTTGAAGATTGCATGCCTGACCCAAACTGTCTTTATGCCTTTATGTTGTAAGATTGTCTAGTGAAGACAGGTTTGCATTGATCATTTGTTTGCTTTAAAAATGCATGATCACAAACAGCATGTCCCTTGTGAAAACTGAACAGGTAGCCGCGGCTTCTTTATTCTGATAATATAAGTAGCTAGAATACTAAGTAATAGTGGCATCCTTTGGGAAATGCCTAAAGTGGAAGGCAGTGTGGATAAAGCAGCTGGGGAAGCAACATCGAAATGAAATTGCTGTGAATCTGTCTTCAGGAGTCGGGCAGATTGTTGTTGTTGTTGTTCTTTTCTCTCAAAAGCCTTATGTAAACAAAGCTGTAGTCCTTCGAGAAGATGGAAATCTTGAATATGAGTCCTGGCTTTGAACAGTGACAAATAGTATAACTGAGAAAATCCTTTGCAGGCTCTCGTTGTCGGTTGCTTGATCTTTAATGTCAGCTTTGTGACACAGTTAGGGGAGATCAATAAATAAATACTTGTTGAATGTGTTAACTAAAATCTTCTCGTGATATTTCTGGTTATATAAGGTTCTAGAATCATAATAATAGTATTCAGGTGATTTACTGTTTGGGTTTTTTTTTTTTTTTTCTTTCTGCTTTTGGGATTTTGATTAAATTGGTTTCTGTGGATTTATTTTTGCTGTTACAATTTTAGGAGTTATTTTATATCTTTTAACCAATTCTCTCTCTTCTCTCTCTGTGTATATATATCTACACACACACACACACACACACGCACACACACACATATGTGTACACCTACATATATATTATAAAAGTCTTGGTCCATATGTCAAACACGAGGCATAAACATAGACATATATCAGGCCTTCATCTAACGTCTCTTGCTTCAATCCTTAATCTGTGTGGGATGTCCAGTTCTTCATTAGTCATCCTAAAGCCTGACATGGCATTTCAGTTTGCCAGACTTGTTATTCCCAATTTAGAATTTCTGAGGAGCAGTAGATATAACAAAAAATGAATTATTCAAACATTTTTGTTTATCTGAGATAAATTCTATGTGGTTTGGGCCTTGGCTACTTTAAAGAGTTAGTCTTTCTTTCTGTGTCAATACAGATTATTTGAATTGTTTAGCCAATGTTCCCAAATATGTCAGTGATCCAGAGGGAGACCATGTTCCTTGGAGAACACCTTGCCTATCTAAAAAGCCAGCTTATGCGCGTCGTAGCTGCCCTCAAGGTCTTAGTTTGTTGAAGGTCTTCAGTTTTTTGGGAGCTGATTTTCCCTGTGGTTAAACTAATGTTGTTGCTGCTTCTATTTATAATTTAAAGATTTATAAAACTTAATTTATAAGCATGCCCAAGGGCTCTTAGGTAATTAAGTAAATTTGCCCTGGGTTTGGAATTTTGTAGACCTCTCAACATGGCAGATGCCTAAGGCCATTTAAGAGAACAAGGCTTTGTTTTTTGCACTGCTCTCAAGATGTGTTGTACCACAATTACTACAGGAGAAAAAAGAGTCTTGCCTCTGGAATGTTGCAGGTAAATAATCCTAAAAAATAGCTGTTCCATGCTACAGTGCTGCTTTATTTAGAACTTTCCATTACTGTCAGAGAATGATAAATTTGGAGTTGTGTCTTAGCTGTTCTCTGCCACATAATTTTTGGGGAAAAAATAATATTAAAAGGCTTTTTCATGGGGCACCTGGGTAGTCAGTTGGTTAAATATCTGACTTTAAAAAAAAAATTTTTTTTAACATTTATTTATTTTTGAGACAGAGAGAGACAGAGCATGAACAGGGGAGGGGCAGAGAGAGAGGGAGACACAGAATCTGAAACAGGCTCCAGGCTCTGAGCTGTCAGCCCAGAGCCCGACGCGGGGCTCGAACTCACGGACCGTGAGATCATGACCTGAGCCGAAGTCGGACGCTTAACCGACCGAGCCACCCAGGCGCCCCAAATATCTGACTTTTGATTTCAGCTCAAGTCTTGATCTCATGGTCATGTGTTCAAGCCCTGCACTGGGCTCTGCTGGGTGTGGAGCCTACTTTAAAAAAAAAAAAAAAAAAAAAAAAAAAAAAAAAAAAAAAAAAAAAAGATTTTTTCAGCCACAACATTGTATTTTAAGGTCAGTCTCTCAAAAGCTCTTCCTAAACCCCTCAATGTGCTAGGTGTTACTCAGAGCAAGTCCAGAGCTTTTGGATCCTTTCTAAGAGCTTCCTTCAGAATTAATATATTTATAGGATGTAAACCTGTGATCATGCTGCTTGCTTTCTCCTAAATTGAACCTCATTTTCTAAACTGCTGCCTCCTTCCTGGATAGCATCTGTACTGGAGGGGGAAAAATGGGGTAAAGACGTGTCGATAGAGAAATACGGAAAAGTAAAGTAGGCCATCTTTTCACTTTGATTTTGCTTACTGGGGAACCCAGAATGTACTCTAAGTGAGTTCATGTGTATATTTTGGGGAAAGTGTCTTAAACTGTATGTAACTTTGCTAGAAGTGCCGATTCAAGTGGATGTGATTCCTGACTTAGCTGTTTACATTTTAAGTCTGATCACACTGATGAGGAGGCCTATAAGTCATGGGCTTGCCCTTTGGGAACCATAGGTACTCCTTTGGTACGTCCACAGTAATCTCAGAAGGTGAGAGAGTGCACCCTTGGAGTTAGACCTAGTTGAACCTTGTTTTGCCACCAGCTTGTCCTATCATCTTGAGAATATGATTAAATCTCCCTCTTGAGTCAGTTTCTTTACCTGCATTTATCAGATGCCCAACAATAGTACCTCAGAAGATTAACAAGTTAAAATAAGGACTAGTTAGGTAAACAAGCAATTATGCTTGGTAAACCATGGGATAAGACTTTATGCATATTTATTGGTGATTTAGGATGGAAAATAGTAAATAAGAGATAGGCTGACTGTACAATTAATGAGTTTAGATTCTATAATTAAAACAACATAAATCAAAAAAGACAACCCTCTATTCTCTCGCTGTTTCACCTAAGGAAAAACATTTATTGTTATTAGAAAAAAATTTTTAATGTTTATATATTTTTGAGAGAGAGAAACAGAGTGAAAGCTGGGGAGTGGCAGGGAAAGAGGGAGACACAGAATCTGAAGCAGGCTCCAGGCTCTGAGCTGTCATCACAGAGCCCGACACGGGGCCTGAACTCTCAAACTGCGAAATCATGACCTGAGCCGAAGTAGGCCACTTAACTGACTGAGCCAGGCACCCCAGGAAAAGCATTTATTTTTAAAGGAAAGAACATTTTACTATAGAAAGGTTTTTTTTCCCTACCAGTGGGGTACAGAGCAGAACGGATTAGGAGGAGCCATATTAGGAGAGAAACGACACTTTTTTGAACAGAGATTATAGTAATTTCTAAATGTCTCCTTTTTTATAGTTGTACTTAAAGGCTAGACACACTAAATCTTTTACTTTATTAGTAATTACTGTGTTTTTCTAAAATATAACAATAAAGGTAATAGAATACTAACATTGCTGAGCCTTTACAAAAAAACATGAAACACTTAGGGATAAATCCAACAAAATATGTGTAAGATGTATATGCTGAAAACTACAAAACCTTGAAGAGAGAAATCAAGAAAACATAAATAAATGGAGAGACCTGTGTTCGTGGACTTCAAGACTAATATTTTGATGTTTGTTTTCCAAATTGATCTCTTTTTCAAGATTTTTTATAGAAATGGACTTGTAGATCCTAAAATTTATATGGAAAAATAAAGGAACTAGAATACCCAGAATAACTTTGAAAAAGAATAACTAAGTTTGAGGACTTACCCTATCTGATTCTAAGACTAACTCTGTTAACAGTCCAAGACCAACTCTTTCAACAGTTGGTGCTGAAACAGTGAGCTAACCACATGCAAGAAAATGAACCATAACACATACTTCATAGTATATATAAAAATTAACATGAAATCGATCATAGGCTTATATGTAAAGCCTAAAACTGTAACATTTCTAGAGGAAAATCTTTGTGATCTTGGTTAGGCAATGATTTCTTAGGACACAAAAAGCAGAAGCCTTTAAAAAAAGATAAATTGGGCTTCAGTAAAATTTAAAACATCTGTCCCTTGAAAATAATTGTTAAGAAAATGAAAAATCAAGCCACAGATTGGGAAAAAAATTTTGCAAGATACATATCTGGTAAAGGACCAGTATCCAGAGTATACAAATAACTCTCACAATTCACTAATAAGAAAACAAACTCCCTTGTAGAAAGAAGGGCAAACCATTTGAACAGACACTTCACCAAAGACATAGATGGCATTTGTCATTAGAGAAGTGCAAGTTAAATCCACTTTGAGACGCATCTATTAGAATGGCTTAAACAAGCCAAACAGAAACCTGACGTCATCAAGTGCTGACATATACATGAGGCAACTGAAACTCTCATATTTCTGATGGAAATGCCAAGTGGTATAGCTACTATGGGAAACAGTCTGGCAGTTGCTTATAAAATTAAACCTGTGAGCCATAATTATAGGTGCTTACCCAAAAGAAATGAAAGACATCTGTCAATACAAAAACCTATAGAGGAATGTTTATGGTAGCTTCATTGGTAACTGCCAAAAACTGGGAACAGTCCCAGCATCCATCAATCGGTGAATGGATAAACTGTGTACTTCCATACAACGGAATGCAACTCTGCAATAAAAGGAAATAGTCTTTAAATTCATCCAACAGCATGAGCCTCATACTCGTGCTAGGAGTTTTAAAAAGCTAGTGAAAAGGCTTCACACTTCTTATTTCAAGTTGTAGGACATTCTGGAAAACAGAAAGCAGCCAGTAGTTGCCAGAAGCAGATGGTGGGGTGAGTGGGTTGGCCACAAAGGGCCATGAAGGAACTTTCTGAGATGCTGTAAATGTTCTGTATCTTGGTCATGGTGATGATTACATGACTGAAGGCATTTGTCAAAATTTGTAGAACCGTATAACTAAAAGCATGAAATTTGCTGTGTATAAATTATATCTCAATAAATCTAACTTCAAAAAAGAAGTTAAAATATTAAACTAATTCTTTTAAGCTTAGATAATTCTACTTGTGTGAATAAGTGCTTGGGTGGAAGTGTTAGTCGCTTCTCAGTTTGGTTGACATTGACCTGGACCTTCCTTGGCTCCTCTTTCTCTTTGTTCTTTGTGATTATCTATTGACCCTTTTACCGCACCCTTGCAGGTCACTCATTTGGGACAATTTGAGTATCAGGCTAATAACTGTAATGTATTGAAACATATCAAACATATTTAAAGCTATGCATTCATAATGATACTAGGAAATAAAAATGAAAAAGTTACTGGTCCTTTTTAGAGGATACTAAGGATATCAACTTATTTTGAAAATTGGTGAAGTTAACAAAAAAAAAAAAAAGCATTTATCGATTTTTCTCATATGACCTCAATTTTCTGGTACCAAATTTTGGATGAGGGAAAGTTTCTCTTTGTGGACCAGATAATAAATAAGAAGGAATAATAGAATTAAAAGGTCACCATTTTGCAACTCTCTGTTAACTAGTAAATTTAGCCATTGATTGTCAATAGTTGCTACTATCACACAAAAAAGAGGCAAACAGATTTCATGTACTTACTGATAGAAGTACACACCACTACCTCTGGAGTATTTTTGCCAAAAACTCCATGCTCAATCAGATTTTTAGGAAATACAGGGAATTGGGACACATGTTAATATCATGGGAATGCAATCAGTAAAATCCAGATCCTCAGCAACACAGTAAGACAACCCATTTCTTTAATGAGTAGGGAAAAGGAGAGAGACTCCGTAGATTTGAAAAGACTTGACATATAAGCCAATTGCAATGTATAGATCTTATCTATTAGGCCCAGATTTGAACAAAGAAGCTGAAAAGAATATGAGTTAATTGGGGCAATTTTGACATTGACTAAATGTATGTTGATATAAAGGAATTATTTAAGTGTTTTAGATATAATAGCAATTTATGTTTTTTTTAAAGAACCTTTTTATCTTTTAGAGATACATAAAGAAATATCTGTGGATAAAGTGTTAAGATATCTGGGATTTGCTCTGATACAGATGGGGAGAAGTGGCTGGGAGGTGTATAAGGAAATAAGATCGGCTGTGCATTGATAATTGTTGAGGCTGGATGAGGAATACACAGGAATCATGATACTATTCTCTGTACTTTTTTTATATGCTTGGAATTTTATAGAATAAAATCATCCATCTAATATTGATTGCCTAGTATGCACCATGCACTAGGCTAGGTGTTAGGTTTTATATTGGTCAATAAGGGATGTAAATTATCGCCAACCTTGTGGAACTTTTAGTCTCCAGGTGGAGGCAGATGATAAAGATGTAAATAAAAAATATGTATTATAAATTGTGATCTGCTGTGAAGGAAAATGAACACAGTTCAGTGATAGAGAATTATAGGGAAGGGCCTAGAGGCTGCTTAGGGGAAGTGGTGACATCTCAGCCAAGATCTGAAGGGTGAGACTAGTGAGCCATGCAAAGGGACAGCGGGTAAGTGACAGGAGGGGTGGACAGGCCGGGCTAGGAAAGTATTCAGTGTGGGTTTGCTTGTTCTTTCTGCTGCAAGAGAAAATCTCTTATTGTCTGGCCACTTGTTGATTTAATATTTCTTTTGCTGACTGTCTTTTGTATCCTAATGTGTGTCTGACCTGGGATCTAATTAGAGTGTGAACCTAGAACTACTTTCAAGCCTGGCATAGTTTCACATGCCCTGAACGGTTGCTGATAGTACAAGCTTTTTTTTTTTACCTACAGACTTTTCAACTGACAACCAGAATGTAGATAGGGACAGTCTCGTGTCCTTGAACAAAAGAATCAGCAATTAAAATTACATCCTTGTAATCCTGGAAAGTCAGAGGAGTAGGTCTTGGGTTCTGGATTATATTTTGCTTAGATAACTCAAACCTGTCCTTTAGTTACCCTTTGGGTTAATAGAGTAAAAAGAAATAATGTTTTTTCAAGTGCTTGGGTTTCTTAGAATGAGTGAAAGATGCTGTTAATATTAACTATCCTATTTTCCAGTGATAGGAGTCAGACACATAGTAGAGAGTCAAACGTGAAATAAACAAATGACTGGCACTTTGTTTAAACTTCTCTTGGCCAAAGCCTTCTCTTTTGAGTCTGTATCAGAGCCTTTCACTACGTTTGTATCAGTAATTCTTGTATATTCACTTGTTCTGCTATCTTGGAGTATTTTGAACGAATTTGCCTTTTCCCCGAACCTGTTAGTACTCTGGACAGGAGAGAGTGAGTGAGTGAGTGAGTGTGTGTGTGTGTGTGTGTCTGTGTGTGAGTGAGTGATGGGGGAAGTGCTGCTTGTTTTCCGCACGTGATCGTTTCCTCCCTTTGTCTTTTAGACATATTACAGATGCTACACTTGCCATTGTGAAAGGAGAGACCATTCCACTCGATGTCTTGCAGATCAAGGTAAAGTCTGTTTTTCCCAGTGTTTGAAAATTTAACAAAATAGGGGCGCCTGGGTGGCGCAGTCGGTTAAGCGTCCGACTTCAGCCAGGTCACGATCTCGCGGTCCGTGAGTTCGAGCCCCGCGTCGGGCTCTGGGCTGATGGCTCAGAGCCTGGAGCCTGTTTCCGATTCTGTGTCTCCCTCTCTCTCTGCCCCTCCCCTGTTCATGCTCTGTCTCTCTCTGTCCCAAAAATAAATAAACGTTGAAAAAAAAAATTTAAAAAATTGTGGTAAAAAACCCACAAAAGAAAAGTTACCATCATAACCTTTTTTACGTGTACACTTGATCATTAGTGTTCAGTATATAACATTGCCTTTGACTTACCGGTGTCAGACTTTCTCTCTTGACCTCTCCGTACCCTGTAAGAATTCCTCTAGATCTCCTCTCAATATAGTTGTTACTATTTGTACTTCCTCCACTGATTACCTTTGGACCATATAATTTCTCTATCTCATGTGGTTGTTTGGAATATTAGAAGAGCTAATTATACAAAGCATTGAGGACAGTGACTGGTTTCATCTGAACCTGTTTGCATGGTGGCCATCCCTCAGGCTTTGCTAAAGGTGAAACCTTTCTCATGTCACATCCGTCCTTTGGAATTCAGGTTACTTCGATGTCTTGCAGCCTCTGCTTTCTCTCTCTGATGAGCTCAAGAAAAATGATAGTTTGTAAATTATCTGGCTTTTTTTTTTTTAGGGTGGAAACAATGTTCCACCCTAATGTTCAGTGGGAGCAGGACTTCCCATTTTTCTGTTGGGTTGTCTAACATTTTATTGATTTGTAGATGAACTTGTGAATTGTTTAAAAAAAAAAAAAAACTTCTGCTGGCTTTGCACACTCAAAGGTCTTAGAAGCAGTGACACTAAACAACAAAGAATGTACCTGGCCTTCAGATTTTGGTCTCTAAATACTGTTCCATAATAAACATGACCAGGGCTCTGTGAAAAGATGGCTTCCAGAGACAAGGCAAGAACAAAGCAAAGAGTTACTCAGAAACTGATGGAGACAACAGGAAAAGACATAGGAGGCTAGTCTGATGGTATCCTCCTGGCCAGTTTTGGGATAGTTTGAACATCAAAAAGAATAATAATGCTGATGGATTATAATGCAATAAGTAAAAATGAAGAATCTATAAGCCTACAGTTTAATATTAGGGAATTTCCAGCTTGTAAACGTAGAAGACATGATAGTTATTATTTTGCAATCACTAATGAAATAATTGATTCAAGTAGAGATCATTAGTGGATGCTCAAACCGCTGGATAAAAGGGTCGTTGGGGAACATATATCAACACAGTCTTAAAGCATCACAGGCTACTTAATGATTACAGAGGGAAAAGTGTACCTTTACAGTAGAGAGATCTAGTATATACCACCTAGTGATCAAACTTAGCATCATCAGTTATGGGACAGATGGGCATTATCTGCCTTCTGATGTGATCTATCAAGAAGGATAAATCATCATGTATATAGTTTCTTGCTCAAAATGTTAAATTATCTGAATCTAACTGAAAATAATAATGAGAAAAAAGTCCGTCAAATTGTGGGACCTACTAAAAACAACAGTTGGTCTGGCCTCTTCAAAAATTTCAGTGTCCTGAAATCCAAAAGAAGATGGTCTATTCAGGATTACAGAAGCTAAAGTAATAGAATTAAATCTGGCACAAAATCCTGGATTAGAAGAATGAAAAACTAGACCATGAAAGATACTATTGGAACGATCAGAGCTATTTAATAGGGACTGTATATTAGATATTCTATGTCAATTTAGATTTCTTGAGGGTGACAGCATTATGTTTATGTCTGTCCTTGTTCTTAGGAGACGTGCTGAAATTTGAGGGGTGAGGGTCATGAAGTCTTCAGCGTATTTGAAAATGATTTAACAAAACTACAAAACACGTAGACAGATAAAGCTAATAGGGGACAATGTTTTGCCTGGTGAATGTAGGTGAAAGACGTAAATGGTGTTCATTGTACATTAAAGGATTTCTTGGTTTGACATTTTTCCGAAAGAAAAATTTTGGAGGGAAGAAGACCCAGTAGCCGTTCCCGATTCCTGTTTGGAATCCTCTCTTTAAGAAGAATTAAATTCCCAGGCACCTGGGTGGTTCGGTCGGCTAAGCATCTGACTTAGGCTCAGGTCATGATCTCACAATTAGTGGGTTCGAGCCCCACGTTGGGCTCTGTGCTGTCCATGCAGAGCCCAGTTCAGATCTTCTGTCGCCCTCTCTCTCTCTCTGCCCCTCTCCAACACTTGCACTGTCTGAAAAATAAACATTTAAAAAGAAAAGAATTTAATTCCTGGGACGAAGGATATTCTCACTGGGCAGTAGTTAAGTAACCATTCCTTCTTCATCAGATCTTCTCCCCTCTTTCCCCACAACAAAAGGACAGATTCCCGAGAAGGCTAAGCCATAAAGCCGAACAATTGTATGAACAGTGAGCCCTGTGTCCTTTACTGAGATTTGGTCTTAATATGCACTGGCTACATTCCGGTTGTCCTTCAGAGCCTCTGAACATTTTATATTCATTCAAGTTTCCTGATATCTCTGAAAGAATGTTCCATACTATGTCAGAATTCCAAACTTGAGTCCTAAAATATTGGTGTTAATTATATAGCATTGGCCATATATGCATATTTATGCATATATGCAAATAGGCATATTTATGACTGGTGAACCCATGTACTTGCAGCGTGTTTTCCTTTCCTTTTCCTTTGTTCTTCTGCACTGATGTCTGGACTCCCCACCATGATGTCATTGATCGTGATAAAAGTGACTTAAGTTGTATTTTAGCGATAATAAATCTAAGTCATTCTGAACAAAATGCAAGAGCTGGGTGAAAGTCTAGCCTAGGAACGCACCACAGATTGGCATCTATGAAGATATTATCTTAAAATGTTGTTATTACCGAAGGAGGGGAGTCAGGCTGTATCTTATAATAACTAGGTAATTAACTGCTGCTTATAAATGTGTGAGGAGTAATACATTCCAGAGTAATCAGGATTTAATTGGAAATTGTTGACTGTGCTTGTATTTAAGTCTTCTCTCTGATTTTTTTCTTTTCTCCCAAATGTACTGATTTTGTGAATTGATGAAACCAGCATCAAATTTGCCACAGGCTTCGTGTATTGATGACACAGCCCAGGAAGCAGAAAACTTTGAAAATTAATTCCTAGAAAACATAGTGCAGCAGCCTCCTCTGTGGCTTCTGAGGCACTCAGCTAGAGCTGAATTTGTCTTCTCTTTCTTCCTTATTCCTAGAAATTGCTTTCAGAATATGGGGGCAGCATGATAGGTAAAGCCTGATACTGGATTCCTCTTCTTAAAAAAAAAACAAACCCAAACCCAATTAAACCTGTATAACTGAAGAGTCCCCAAAAATAGTCCTTGGAAGCTATAATAATGCTTTATATTTAGCTTTTTATAGTTTCTACTGAATGCTCACATCTCATTTGGACCTCCAGCTTAAGAAGACAAGATGTGTATTATTATCTTCGTTTGACAGAGTGAAAACAAAAAGTCAGCTGGTCATCTGACTAGTCACGCTGAAGACAGAAGTAGAGTCTAGATTTTCTGTTTTATAGTCCATTGCTTTTCAACTTGACTGCTTTGTCTAGGTGGTATCACTCTTGGCACGATCCTGTGATTTCCAAATGGCATTTTCCCATATAGACATCTACAAAGCCTGGTACTTAACTTCAAAGGCTTTAAAGACTTACAGAAGTCTTTCTAGTTCTTTCTTTTTGCTACTTCAGTTGGCTCATAGAATCTGCCAACCCAGAACCCAAAGAGGAGGATAGGGTTGCTGGTTGAAGTTAGAATCTGCCCCTTTCCCCTGTCATTCCTGGTTTCCTTTTTTTTTTTTAACCCTGACTGATCATTCTCTCAAGATGACGCTTAGGGCTGCTTCAGAACTTCAGAATTCCTATTTTCTTTCTCTTCATCTAGAGTTCCTAAAATTCCTAGATTAGGTACCTATCTAGTTGACCAGAATTGTTTTCTTTTCACTGTTCCTTAAGCTTTTATTCCAGCCAGGTTTCTGAATTATTTTTCTTTAGCAACCAGTAGGCCCTTTTCCCTTTGCAGAGGGTCTATGACTTGGGACAACATATGTCCTTTGCTGTTAAGACCTGGTTGTGTGCCTCTTTTTATCTGTTTTTGTTGACTGACCCTTCCATCTGATCCTCAATTACCCAGACCTTCATCGGGTTAACATTCCAGTGGTAGTTTGTCTGTTGGCTTCTCCTCTGTCCAACCACCCTTATTTTTCTTGTGTACCCCAACAAGGACGAGTCTCTTCATTACCGACCCTTTGTCCTCTCCTGAATCCTGAGGGCCCTATGACCATCTGGTTGTTAGCTGGGCTTCTCTAGATCTTTCCACACTCATTTCCTGGTGTCCAGAGTCATTCCTACCCCTTGCTAGGACATAGCATCCCAAATCAGTAGCACCTTGACGTTACAAGGCTTTTTAGTTAATCTTCCCAGAATATTCCTAAAATCCTCCTCAATGAAGACAGAGAAAACATTTTTAGAGCACCAGTTGGGAAGTCTTCAATACTAAAACCAGGACATCGTGTTAGACTATGTGCTTTTGATCAGCCTTTCCCCAGGAGTATTAGTTACACAAAGTGCCTCCCAGGGAAGGGTTGCACAGTTAACAATTCAGGAAAACTATTCGTATTTCTCCTTCTGGAAGTTTATAATATACATTAACATATTAAAGACCCCAAGAAGAATTGTAGTGAACATAACTTGTTTCAAACCAACGAATTTTGGTATTTCTCAACTCCTTTCATCATGGAATCTTCTACAGTTATCATTATTATTAGTTGTGATGCTTACAAACCCCTTATGGAACAGTTGAGGGAAATAGTCCACTGCAGACTCACACAGTGTTGCTTCTCTTCCTCAGGTTAGACCTTTCTTCTCCCTTTTCTTTCTCTCCGTGCTTCTCTCTAACCTCCCTCAATCTAGACACCTTATTCTTTAAAATTTGTTTTGTTTTAAAATTGATGTTGTGTTTCCCTGACCATGTGTGTCCTTTGATCCCCTCACACACCACATCCAGTCGCACCTGCTGTGCTTTCATAGCACTCGATGCATTTCTTGGTGGTGGGAACCTCCTGCATTGGATTGTTGTTGTCTGTGTCTGTCTACCCTCATTGTACCTTGAGCTCTTTGAGGGCAGG